TACACGACTAAAGGAAATCACACGCTAGCCAAAAAAAGTATTAGCATGCAATTAAGTTTTTCTTTTCGGTATTATAAATTTTCTCTAACAAAACTATTATGTTAGTACTGGCGGAAAAAGACATTATGAGTCTCTATTATGAAAAAAAAAAAAGGATACTTAATTATTTGAAAGTGTATATCTCTCGTTTAAAAAAATTAAAACAAAAATAATAGTAAAATGAGATAATTATTTGAAATATGTGGGTAGTTTATAATCTATGAATGAGTAATTTAAAGAAAAAATTAGAATTAAAATGTGTATGAAAAAAATATTTATTTCTTTTATTATAGTCATAGATTATTGATAAATATTACTCCACACCAACCATTATGATTATAAAAAAAATGTATGGAGTATGACAATTTAACTACTTCAACCAACCAAAAAATTTGAGTTGGCCTTCTAAAATTTGAAAACTTGAATTTGCTCAACCTAACCCTTCCCAAAATTTGCCAAATTGATATAATTATTTAGCTGGATTTGTCGTACTTAAGGTTTGAGTTCAACCACTACGTGCAATAAGAAGTGTTTTCAGTAACATTAATATTAAGAAATATTCAAGTCACACATTCAAGATAATGTAAACAAAGAAGTTATAAGAAGGGTATCCTTATCACTTGAATTGAAAGAGGGAAAAATAATTGAAGAAATCAAGAAGAAAGAAGAACTGTTCTGTTGAGAAAATTTTATCCATGCTTTCCCTATTTCTCTTTCTATCTCTGGATTTTCAGTTTCTTTTTTCTGAATTTCTTCATTATCGATTTTACTTGAATGTTGTCTTCACTATTAGTTTTACGTTTTTAAGAAAGTATTTGTTATGTTTCAACAGTAATCAATACTTTTTTAGTTAATTTTTATTCTATTGTTTCTAAATTAAAAATATTGATCATACTTCCTTAATCTTAAAATAATGATGATTATCAAAAAGGTGATGATGAATGCTCATGCAAGTGACAGTTAATGAAAGGAGAGAAGTGTGTAGTACTATTGTTAGAGCCTTGATTTCCTTTGATGTCAATGTTGGATTATTATTGACATCTTTCAATGAGATCAGAACATCCAGCAAGTCCTCTTCAATGGTCTTTGAGCCATCTTTCCATTGTTTGATTCTCTCTTCAACGATTGGATCATGATACTTCTTCATCATCTTCAAACCATTCTTTACCTTTCTCTTATGGCCATCTAAATCAAGCATCCCTAACCAAGGGATATAATCAGAAACTGAAAAGGCATAAACATGTTTAAGCAACACGAAAATAATATTCACATGTTCTTCTTCCTCTAAACCAGGCCCTCCATCCTCCCTACCCTTTCCAAAGTACCTTGTATTAAAAATCAATTTCCTAGCTACATTACAACAATAATGTTGTGCAACATTTCTAACATTCACAAGAGCATCATCACTCGGATTTTTGCATTTGTGGTAAACATAAAACATAATGTTATCGGCTTCTTCATTTCTTTTGTCTTGAAGCCATTGATGCCTAAGTGGGGAGAACAAGTCATTGACAAAGATTCTCCTCATTTTCTTCCATTGTTCCCCAAAGGGTACAATAGCTATTGTCACATAACCACTAGAGATGATACCAGTGGCCATGGTTAGTGGTCTAGATGCAAAATCAACATCATGCTTTCTCAAAAATTCACAAGCAATTGTAGGACAAGTCACTGGGATTATGTTAACATTTCCTAGGCGGATACAAGCGATTTCAGTGTTCATTTCTTTCATAAGTTTATGTATCCACCGAAATACAGGCTTGTTAACAAGCATTTCGGGAAGGTTACCAACTAGAAGCCATGGTTTGGGACCTGGGGGCAATTTGAACTTCTTAACTAAATGATATCCCAAGACTTTGATAATGGTGAAGCCAAAAATCATAATAAGCAAATAAATTAGAAATAATTTAAGGTGCAACCATGAAAAATAGAGGGCATAACCCATAACGACTGGGAAAAGGGTGTTCAAACAAAATGGCGTTGGGTTTTAACTTTGAAGACAAGTGTATGAAATATTGCTAAACTCTGGTGATCACTTCGAAAGTTGGGTGCCAATTTATAATGGTCGATAAAGAAAAAGTAAATTATGGCTAACAATGAATCAGAGATCTATATTATGTTATTTATGTAAAAGATTTAAAGGTATTTCTTATACCTCATCAATATATAATTTTTTGCTGTTCAAAAATATATAATGGTTGATAAAGCGCTCTACCTATACACCCCTGGTTCTAGCCTTAGGTGAACCTTCAAAAATCAAAATCGAGATGTGACATGTATACACCTGAAGACAAATGCTTGAGCTCCACAAGTGAAAAATCTGTGCACTACGCTACAAACTATATACAACGTGGACAAAGTAGTAATAAATTTTTTTTAATATATAGAAGAATCGTAATACTTTTATTTTTAAATATAAGTTCTAACTATCTAATTCATTATAAGTTAAAAAAAATAGTGAATTTAATATATAATAATAAATTTATTTTATTTATATTTTTTTCAAAAATTATTCCTATACTATATTTTTTCATTAATACTGTTATATTATCTAATCAATTTGACTATACGACTTATACTTTTTTAATTAATACTCTTATTTTTCTAATTAATTAAGATGTATTTTTTTAAAAAAAAATATTTTATCAAATTAAGAAAATATAGTTACATGCGAGATAAATAAAAGGGGAAAGCTATAGGACCGTGCGAAAATGAAATCAATTTTTGGCCATCGGTGTAATTTTTACTAAGTTTTATACCACTTAATAACTTTATATTAAATGTGAATTTTATAAATCCAACCGTTAAATTAAAAGTTCATATCACTTTATATGTGTATATCAAATTTTGTTAAAATTGAACAACAACTTAAAGGTAATTTAAGTGTTCATATTTTAGTATATTTTGAAATTAATATATTACATCAATTTTGTTTTATAATAATGAAGTATCAAATTATCTTGGATTAATATAAAATTTTGTATATATGATCTAAGAGTAAGAAACTTTCAATCTAATGATTGGATTTACAAAATTCACATTTAATATAAAGTTATTGAGCAATGTAATATTTAGTAAAAGTTACATTACTCAATAACTTTATATTAAATGTGAATTTTACAAATCCAACCGTTAAATTGAAAGTTCATATCACTTTATACATGTATATCAAATTTTGTTAAAATTGAACAACAACTTGAAGATAATCAAAATGTTCATATTTTAGTTTATTTTGAAATGAATATATTATGTCAATTTTATTTTATAAAAATGAAGTATCAAATCATCTTGGATTAATATAAAATTTTGTATATATGATCTAAGAGATATGGACTTTCAATCTAACGGTTGACTTTACCAAATTCACATGTAATATAAATTGTTGAGCGGTGTAATACTTAGTAAAAATTATACCGATGTAGTTATAACCCCCTCTATATATATAGATAAATAGATAGATAGATAGATAGAAAGATAGGGGTGGTAAGAAAGGCCAACAACTTTTTGGGTGAATCTATAGGTTCATAAAAAAATTGGTGTGTTAGATAAGATATTCTAGTCTTTCAGCTTATCTGATCCACTTTGTTTAGTCTGTTTATTTTTTTTTTAATGTAAAATTAATTAAGTTACTTTATTTTGTATATAATTTATGATTTGACTTGTAATATATTTGTTGTGCATTTGATTTTATTTTATAATTATATATAATTTGAGATTTATTATGCAATAAATTTTTTATAAGAGCTATGACTATGAGTATTATTATAATCAGTGTTTTAAAAACCAGATCAGACTGGCCGGTTGGACCGGTTGAACCGGAAACCGGTGGTCTAGCTGATTCGAATCTTTAGTTGGATTGATTATGCATTCGACCTGTTTCAAACCGGAGTGAACTGATTAGTTTTTCAGTTCAACCAGTGAACCGATGAGTTGAAACCGTTCAACCAAATTTTTTTAAAATAATATATATAATATATATATATATATATTTATACAAAATAAAAATAAAGATCATTTTAAATAAGATGAAAATTGAAATGTAAGATAGGATATGAATTTATTGAAATATATAAGTATAAAATATATTTAACATAAATATTTTTTTAGAAAAAATAATAAAAACTGAGTCATGCAATTTAATTAATAATCCTTTAAAAAAAATTTATTTAGACACCTTGAGAGGGATAGAAAGATGATAGATAAATAATTAATAAATTTGATAATATGTATCATAAAATGAGAGAGAAAGAGAGAAAATAGAAATGGTAATGATATATATTTTTTTAGTTTACAAAAATTATCACTCAATCTTGGTGCAAATATATGAAATATGAAATGATGTATATAGGGATGGGAAGAAAGGGCAACAGCTACTTGGCCGACACACTATGCAATATGATTTTTAGAGACCCTTATCCTATTATCCTATAGCATGATACAAAATATGTGAAATATGATTTTTAGAGAACCTTATCCTATTATCCTATAGCATGATACCAAATATCTAACTGGTTTTTTTTCTTCATTTTTTTTACACAGACTCACTTTATTAAATGTTTTATACATAGAAAAAAATTATAGCTAAAATTAATATCTGTAAAAATATAACTTACATTTTTTAAAATAAAGTTTGTTGAGACAATAAAATAACAAGTTTATTGGAAATGAATTTTAAAATTTAAATAAAGAAATAAGAAAGATTTTTCGACATGAAAATATTCTAAACTTACTGAACCTTTTCTCATTAAAATAAATAAATAATGGCTGACACTTTAAAAAATAAAACTTTAAAATGTTTATTATATTAAGACTATAATATTATTAAATATATATTTTTAAACAATTTAAAATATTTAATAAAATATATTCAATTATTCATCAATATCATCATCACGATATCTATTAACTAAATTCTTTAAAAGAAAAAAAAAAGATTTTCTTATAGATTTTCTCCTAGACAAAAGACTCCTCCCTTTAATAAATTTCATATTTTTTCCACCTACGAATATTCAATTATGTGCAGAATAACATAGGAGTAATGAAAATAGACCATCTCATCAAATAGTGTTTGCTTTAAAAATTTGTAACCCCACATTGAACGGAAAAGATAAAAAAAAATTTGTTTTGTATTTTAGTGTTT